GATCTTTGTTGCCAAAACTCCTAAGTATGCTAGCTTCTCCCTTAGGAGCACTCCCGCAGGGCAATCTAAGAGGCTGACTCTCAGGCTTAAATTCTTAGGAAGTCTGCCAAATAAAACATAATTCTCAACTTTTGGGTTGTGCATTTATTTTTTCAGTCAACAAATGTAATCTATTCCTTACTGTGAGTCACAGTAAAATGACCTGAAAGCTACCCGTGTATCAGTGAAGAGTTCAGGCGCTATAGTCAAACTCCTTGGCTTTAAATCTTTACCATGCCACTTGTTATACGTTCGTGCTTAGTCATGTCAGACTCTTTGTGAGTCCGTGGACTGAAGCCCTCCAGGTTCCTCTGTCCATGGGAATTTTCAGGCAGGAATATTGGAAAATAGTTTACCATTTCCTCCTCCAGGGGATCTTCTGGACCCAGGGATCAAACCCTCATCGTCTCTTGGGTCTCCTGCATTGGCAGGCAGATTCTTTACCACAAGCGCCACCTGGGAAGCTCTCAACTTGCTACAAGACCTTAGCAATATTTTTTCCCCTTCTCTGTGCCTCAGTTTCCTCACGTGTAAAATCAATGACTAATACTACCCACTGCAAATAGTAGTTGTGAAGATTAAATGATTTAATGCATACAATGTTTGTAGAATAGTGCCAGGCGCAGAAATTAGCTATTATATTATTCCTGTCAGCTGCAGCACCTGCATATAATGTATGACCCCTGGGACAGGAAGATCCCCTGGGGGAGGGCATGCAACCCACTTTAGTACCTTTGCCTGGTGAATCCCATGGACAGAGGAGTCTGGCGGGCTGCAGTTCATAGGGTCACAAAGAGTCAGACACAACTGAAGCGACTTAGTACACACGTATGCACTCACAAAGTGACTGAAGCAGTGTCTGAGACATAATTTGGGCTCAATAGCTATTTGTCCTTGTGGAATACACTTTGTTGATCACTATATTCTACTGTATTCTGTTCTTCTCTGCACACAAGATGACACTTGCTCATCTCAGTGAAGACAGGCAGGATCTTGCAACTAGGTCTGGCCAAGATTGTAGATGGAAGTGACATGTGCCACTTCCAGGCCTAAACAATTCATCACTCATTTGTGATTCTTCAGTGCTCTTTGACTCTCCTGAGGCAAACCCTGAAGACTTGGGTTGGGGCAATCTGTGAACCAGGGTGGTGGAACCTCTAGCCTGGGTCCTTGAGGGATTGTGTGACTAGAGCCTACTGCCTCCCTTCACCACAGCTTTACATAGATACAATGCACAAACCATAAATTCACCATTTTAAGCGTACAATTTGGTCGTTTCTCATATATTTACAGTTATACCAGATTTCACAGGACCCTGAAAGCCAAGCTAAAGAGTTTAAGTTTTATCCTACAGGAATTGGACAGTTAATAGGAAACTGTCTTTTAATTGCAAAAAAAACCCATGTTTATTAATTAAATAATCTGACAAACAGTATTACCCTTACTTTCGGCTTCTTCCTAACTTTATCCATATGTCACATGTTGTTTTTTTCATGTTTGAAACCATGTCCTATCTATGACTTTGTTTTCTATGGTAACCTTAGGGTTATTTCGTACATATTTTTCTCTATGTCTAGATTGTCTTCATTCGTTTTTTTAAAAAGTTTTATTCATTTTATTGTTTGGCGGTGGCGGGTCTTCCTCGCGGTTTCTCTAGTTGCAGACAGCTGGGCTACTCTTCGTTGCCGCGCGGGCTTCTCATCACAGTGGCTTCTCTTGCTGTGGGGCACAGGCTCTGGGCGTGTGGACTTCCGTGGTTGCGGCTCTCAGGCTCAGCACTTGTGGCAGTCCAACTCCAGGGCACAGGCTCAGTAGTTGTGGCACACACATGGGCTTAGGTCTTAACTGCTCCAAGGCATGTGGGATCTTCCCCGACCGGGGACTGAACCAGGGTCACTTGCATTGCGAGGTGGATTCTTTACCACTGAGCGACCAGGGAAGGCCCTGTCTTCCCTTAACGGCTTCACCTTGTCTCCTGCTATTGTTGGACATTTATAGTTTTTCATTATGTGTATAGAATCGTTTTTCAAACATACATGTGTGTGGTGTGTGTGCGTGTGTGTGTGTGTGTGTGTGTGTGTGTGTGTGGACTAGGGTGATTCAAGTGAAATGCCAAGGGTATAAAATTTAAGGAAGTATCCACATTCAGGCTGCAATTTTTCACCTAAGTACTCACTTGCCCAGTCCCAGCTCTATACCTATAGTAAGGTGTCTGTGTGCATGTATGTGTGTTTTCCTTCTAAATTATTCCCTCAGAATGAGATTACTGGTTCTCATGAGAGGATTATTGGTTTAGAGTCCTTTAAGGTTCTTATTGCTCTTGCTAGGAATTGCTAGAAGGTTACTCAGAAGAATTTCATTGACGGTTTTTTTAAAGCATAATTTTGATATGTGCACAAGAGCATTTTACAAAGATTACAGAGGTAACAGAGCAGTAAAGTGACTATAACAACAGTATGTCCCCACCATAGTACTGGTATTGCTATAGAAGACCCACAGGTCTGACTTTTTACATTTGCTAGCCCAGTCAGAATACTCCATTTTTAGCCTGTTATGCCTTCACGCAGTCAACTGTTAAACTCACTCATCAAAGAAATAACAACAAGTCATTCATATTGAATCTATGTCCCTAACAGATGACCCTTCTGTGTATACCAACCTGCTCACTCAAGGTGTATAATTTCTCTATGAGACTAGCCCTTAGGATAGCAACCTCTATGCCAACAGAGATTTATGCATGAAGAGTGGTATGACTACTGCTATTTTACCACAAACCAGGTTCCTAGCTGTAGGGCTCAAATTAAATTGCTATTATTAGGGGGCAAACAGTATCAGAATTTACCTACCCACAACAGTTTTTATAAAAGTCAAATGGAAAAATCTCTGGCCTAGTCTGTTTTGTACAAATTTTCTCCTGGGGGGAGGGCACTTTTTAGAAGGCACTGAAAGGAAAATCACCAGAATGGAATTTAGAGAGGTTTGGGTTCTGAGTCATCCCCAGGCAAATGTAGTTCCCGATCTCACATAATTACAGGAAATATTAAAGGGAGATAGAGCAGAAAGAGCAAGTTTGAGGTAGAGTACAGTATCATGGAAAGGAGTTGTTAAAAGAAACCAAAATTGTCCACAAAGCTCTTTCAGCAACTTTCCTTTGGTTATCTTGGGAAAGAATGTGTTAGGACTGCCAATTAAGACTGATTAACTCATCACCTGCTGCTGCAGCAGCTGCTGCTAAGTCCCTTCAGTCATGTCCAACTCTTTGCGACCCTATGGACTATAGCCTACTAGGCTCCTTTGTCCATGGGATTCTCCGGACAAGAATACGCGAGTGGGTTCCCATGACCTCCTCCAGCGGTTCTTCCCCACCCAGGGACTGAATCCACATCTTTTTTGTCTCCTGCATTGCAGGCAAGTTCTTTACCTCTGTGTGACCCCATAGACGGCAGCCCACCGGGCTCCCCCGTCCCTGGGATTCTCCAGGCAAGAACACTGGAGTGGGCTGCTATTTCCTTCTCCAATGTGTGAAAATGAAGTCACTCAGTCGTGTCTAACTCTTAGCGACCCCATGGACTGCAGCCTGCCAGGCTCCTCCATCCATGGGATTTTCCAGGCAAGAATACTGGAGTGGGGTGCCATTGCACTAGGGCCACCTGGGAAGCCCAATTCATCTAACTCCTCCTAATTTGGCATACTTGAAGCTACAATATTAAAGTTAACTTTTCTTTTGTGGGTTTCTGTCTTAATCATCTAGAGAGCTTTGCTAAATTACTGTGTATGAAATGTGCTGCTTCCGTAGAGTGTTACTTTCTAAAGACTCAATGTCCTCTGCGTGTTTTGGATTAAGCTCATCAGGGATTCCTAACCTCAAGAGAGGCTGGCTTTAGGAGAAAAGGTTGCTGAATCACCTTCAGTTTGCACAAACAGCTCACATCTAGGGCAGAGTGTGAAGATAGCCCTAGGAGGCTACATACAGGCTGCTGCTGCTAAGTCACTGCAGTCCTGTCCGACTCTGTGCGACCCCATAGACGGCAGCCCACCAGGCTCCCCCGTCCCTGGGATTCTCCAGGCAAGAACACTGGAGTGGGCTGCCATTTCCTTCTCCAATGCATGAAAAGTGAAAAGTGAAAGTGAGGTCGCTCAGTCGTGTCAGACTCTTGGCGACCCCATGGACTGCAGCCTACCAAGCTCCTCTGTCCATGGGATTTTCCAGGCAAGAGTTCTGGAGTGGGTTGCCATTGCCTTCTCCTAGATAAACCCAAATCTCAAGCTAATGTTCCGCAACAAGATTGCAAACCATTTCTCTGGCGTGCACCTTAGTAAGCAAAGGGCGCTAAACTCCAGCAGTAGTAGTCAGTTCAGTTCAGTCGCTCAACCACGTCCGACTCTTGGCGACCCCATGGCACGCCAGGCCTCCTAGTCCACCGCCAACTCCTGGAGTTTACTCCAACTCATGTCCGTTGAGTCGGTGATGCCATCCAACCATCTCATCAGTGTGTTCCTACAAATTAAAGTCCTGGCTTTGGTCAAATTCCCCAAAAAACATGCTACTGGGGTTGAACAATAAACTTATCCTTCAGCGCTCTCAAAAAAAAAAAAAAAAAAAAAATTCCTTCCCGGGCTATTATTTATGGGAATTCTGTTACTTTTGCTAAGCATTCGCGTTTCCACGTGTCACAGCTGCCGGCGGTGCTCGGGGCGCCGCGTGGGGGGTGTGGGTAAACTGCCCGCTTAAAAGGAATCCGGTGCCGCTAGGACCTAGTAGGAGGCGCTTCCTCGCAGAGCCCCCCGGGCTAACAGACGCGCGGCATCTGACTGTCGGGGCGGCCAATCAGAAGCCGCGCTTGCCGAGCCAGCAGCCCATCATACCCGCCCCTTCGGCCTGCCTCACCGGCTATTTAAAGAACCGCGCTGAGCTGCCTCTGCACCGTTCTCAGATCCGGGTCAGCGGAGCTCGAGCAGTCATGGCCAACCACATCGTGCTCTACACCGGCGCCAAGATGCCCATCTTGGGGCTGGGCACCTGGAAGGTAGGTGCCCTGGCGAGCGTGCTCCGGGGCTCGCTTAAGTGCTCGGCGCGGCCTGGGACGGGTAAGGGACCGAGAGTGACCCTGAGCAGCGGCCCCCGCGGCGGACGCCAGGCCTCGATGGAGCCATGCTCGGGCTGGTCGGGTCCCGGCAGGATCTGGACCTGCGGTTCGGGAGCCCGAGCGCTGAGGCGGGCGGGGCGCTCGCCTCGGTCTCGGACTGGGGGACTTACGGTGGGGTGGGGTAGGGAAGGGGTGCTTGAGAATGGCTCGCGGGTGGCCGACCCCATAACCCCTCGTGCTTGCAATCCGCTGGAATCCGATCTCAGCTGGAAAGACAACTAGGGGGCGCCGATCGGAGGGAAATTTTCCCGAGTCTCCGTCGCTGAGGCTCGGTGGATGGAGGTCGGGGAGGGGCGTTCCCGGAGATGGAGCAAAAAGGGGCGTGGGGCGCCGGCGTCTCTCACCTAACCGCACCTTCGGGCTCCCGCGTCTTTTGCCTTTCTTCGAAATAGTTGGTCCTTAACCGTTTCCGGCTTTGCTCCCTCAGGAACAAGCATCCCAAGGTAAGCCTGGAGTCTGCAGGTAATTGAATTAGGCGGCACGAGTGTGCCCAGGACCTTTCTATTTACACTGTCCCGAAACGCGCGGGTCGCTGAACTCCCGGAGGCCGGCGTCCCCCTCGGAGTGTCCTGTGCTGGACGAAGGAATCTACGGGGGTGCGGGTGGTTGAGGGGAGGTTCCCACCCATGCAAAACTGCGGGCTGACATCCGTAGTTAAAACTGCCTCCGGAAACCTCGGCACCGCTGGAACCTCTTCACAGCGTCCCCAGGGAAAGGTTAGGAGTAAAAGTGGTAGTCTTGAGTATTTGACAGTTGGGGAGCAGTGAGTGATGTTACGGGAGCCGAAGCAAAACCCCCAATTTTTAAACCGCTTGTAAGTTAGCTTGGGGTATTTTGTACATTACGTTCCACGGCTATGACTCGGGTTTTCCAGGGACTTTAAATGGAGGACTGGGCATTGGCCGTTTGCACACTGACAAGGAAAGAAAAGACGGTAGGAGATTAAGGGCACCTTGAAACGGTCTGAAAGAGACAGGATGGTATTTATCTCTACCCTAAAATCAGCAGCTGGAATCCTGTAAACATTCACTGTCGTGGAGTTGCCTCTCACGAAAAGTGTTTCCCGGACAAAGGAATCGGATTTCCATCTGTGCCTTGTGTTTCCTTCCAAAAGGAAAGTGGTGGCTCTAAGGGTGTAATAATTATGACCATTGTACCAAGTTAAATTCGGTCTGTCGCAGGTTATTCTCTTGGAATGGATGTGAACAGACACTTTTCTTGGCAGTGGCAAATTACAATTTCTGAGGCAGCACACAGACATACACGTGTCACTGGAACAAAACCACCACCTCTCCGAGCCTTATAAGTTTGTGGTTTCAAAAATTGGGACTTAAGGTCTATTGTTTCAAAATCAGTACTCTGGGGGTAAATAAGGAGTAAAAGTTGATTTAAAACTACGGCTTTAAATCATTTGCTTGAGCTCTTAGAACCTACCCCCAAAGCTGTATATTTAGTTAAGATAGCTCTATAAATCTGTACGTTTAGATCATTCAGTAAGTTCGTTGAGTGTAAGGGTAGCATCTAACTTGGTCACAAACTGTTTATGGAACTGTTCACAGAGCCTGGTAAATGATAGGTATCCTAAGGATAACATGTCAAATTAATACAAAGAAGTAAGATAATTTCAGATTTGGGAGAGTGGGTGAGGAGTTGAAGTTGTTTGGAACCGTGTAGAGGCATGATAGAGGAGGTGACAGGGAAATAAATGGTTTAAGTATGGGCTTGGAGTAGATTTCCTTCTTTATAAGGAAAAGTATATGAATAGTGTTTGATACCTTTCCCCTGTATGTGTAAAATATATATTCTCACAGATGCTGGACGAAAATGGGGTGACTTAAATACCATTTGCTTATCTTTGTGAGAACTGGGGGAGGCCCTGAGAGTGGGGGCAGTTCCTGGTTCCCATGGGTCTTCCATATCACGGTGGCTGTATTATATCCTTCGGACCCTTGGCAGGGCTCTGGGAGTCTCCAGTCAGTTACTTTGAAGGTCCTCAGACTCCCCCTTCTCTCCTTGGAGGTGAAGGTTTCAGCCCACTGGGAGAACATCTTGATCTCCAAGCCCATGTGGCTTAGAGGCCATTTCCCCTTGGCAGGCTCGCCTTCCCCAGTGGACAGTAAATAAGCCACGGGCATTGTATTCCCAGGAAGCGGCTAAAACAGATTACTTCTGATGCTGACCAGTGTCCTGTTGCTGATAAATGTTTGGAACTAACTGAAAACTTGATGGTAAATGGCCGTTGTAATTCACCTACATACTCCAAGCCTAGGAATGGAGGACTATTTTCTCTGCTGCTTTTCCATTGTCTTCTGCCCGCACCCACGAGCCTTTGAGACATTTCCCCCTAAATGTCCACCCCCCAATGAAAATGCAACATCACAGATAGACGGTACATCTGTGTGTGTCCTGTGACCCTTTGACAGGCCACAGAACATTGTATAAGCTAAGTGCTTTTGTTTTTGCCTCAAACAAACCAGTTTTTGCCTCTTTGAGGTTGAGAACACTTCCTTTAGGAGCAAATGCTGAGAAAGAACTCAGGCCAAGCTCTTGATGGCCTGGGATCCCGGGCTAGAAGAGTCGGAACTAAACCAGTAGCTTGTCTTTCTGTTCACCTGCTTCATCTCCCTGCAGGCCTCCACCTGCAGCTCTTCAAGAGCAAAGATACTTAAATAAGTCCAGCCTGCGCAGGGCCAGCCCTGGGCCACCCGCATTGCAACCAAGTGGAGACAGTGGTATAATTTAGGACAGCTGGATTCACACGGAGTGAAAGTTAATCTCAGTTTTCTTGTTGGTTTGTGTTTGTGGCCAAACCTGGTTGTGAACTTTGGTGGAAAAAAATAGCCACAGTGGACTGTTTTCATGTGATAAGGCAACGAAAAAGATCCTTCTTCGGCAGTCTGCTCTTTATCATATGAAATTGTGGTTTACATTATTAAACTGTAGATTTGGACATAATTGAACATGAGCCAAATGAGGTTGGCTTATCTGCACCAAGCCATAAAAGCACCCCTGTTGAGGTGAAGGACTGGACATTGTTGTCATTCTCTGGATTCTCCCAGATGCTTATTCTATTGGAGTTTTATGAGTGGCAGATTTGAAGTCTTCTTGGTACAAAACTGTCGGATACGGGCATTGTGTGTAAGCACAGGGCAGGCAAGCTGGCCCAGCTTGCTCAGGTTTCCCCAGACCTTATTGTCCATTGATTAAATTGGAGCAGGGTATAAACCCTTTCAGTCTCCAGAGTATCTTTACGTTCAATATCAGGATACCTTTTTGTTGTTTTGTTTTGGGAGGGTTTCTATTTGTCTGCTTTTGGGCTGTATCACATGACATGCGGGATCTTAGTTCCCTGACCAGGGATCCAACCAGTGCCCCTTTATTGGAAGGGCAGAGTCTTAACCACCGACTCTCGAGGAAGTCTCACGTTTTGGTTATTAAGGTGATGAATTGCAAACAAGAATGTTACTTGTAAATAGGACAAATCAAGACTGGGACTGTTGCCTAATGCCCATTTCTTTGTGTGCTTTTCCAGCAACCCCAGGGGTTAGTAAACCGCAGCCCATTTTTATAAGCAAAGTTTTATTAGAACACATTTCACTCCTTTACATATTATTTTTGCAGCAGCTGAGTTGAGCAGGTGTGACGAGACTGGCCCAGAAGGCCTAAAATATTTTCTGTCTGGCCACTTAACAGAATTAAGTTTGCCAATTTCTCTTCCAGAAGATTCTAAATAAATTAACTGGAAGTTGGAATACATTTTGAGAAATTAGGTCACAAATGTCTGTTTAGCATACATGGAGTTGAAATGCTTTATATACAATGAGAAGCAGAAAATTATATCATGACATCACTAGTATTTTAAACAAAACCGATAATTAAAAAGTAAGGTTAATTTTTTTTTTTAATATAGGTTGAGCGTCTCTGAAGTAAAGCTGGTTTAATCAGAAGAGGTTAAACAGTGCTTTTCAGTGACATTTCAAGGCCTTAGAGGTTGATGCCCTGTTTCATTTATCAAAGTTTACATCAAAAGTTATGGTTACCTATTTTTGCTCCAAGTTTATTATTGGCGCACTGTTAAACTTCTTACCCTGGTTTTTTCCCCCTCAAAGGGAAGTTTCCTTTATTCCTGTCCCCTTCTTCATTCCAAAAGTGATACCTGCTAACTGAAGAAAATATTTTTAAAAAGTCAGAAAGAACAGTCTTCTCTTTCCAGACATCTGCATGTTAAAACTACAAAGGATTCAATCTCTGAAATACTGTTGTCTGTTGTTTTTTTTTTAACCAATGACACTGTTTTATAACCTTTGTTGTTTGGAGCTGTGTGTTGCTAAGTTGTGTCTGACTCTGCGACCCCATGGACTTTGTAGCCTCTCAGGTTCCTTTGTCCATGGAATTCTCCAGGCAAGAATATTGGAATGGATTGCCATTCCCTTCTTCACGTTTGGAGCTGTAGTATTTTTGTTGTTTGTTTGCTTGCTTCTGGCTTGCAGAGGGAATAGAGGGAGGGATATTAAGGGTACCTAGCAGCACAAGGAGAAGGCACTGGCACCTCACTCCAGTACTCTTGCCTGGAAAATCCCATGGACGGAGGAGCCTGGTAGGCTGCAGTCCATGGGGTCGCTAAGAGTCGGACTTGACTGAGCGACTTCACTTTCACTTTCCACTTTCATGCATTGGAGAAGGAAATGGTAACCATCTCCAGTGATCTTGCCTGGAATATCCCAGGGATGGGGAAGCCTGGTGGGCTGCCATCTATGGGGTCGCACAGAGTCGGACACGACAGAAGCGACTTAGCAGCAGCAGGAGCTCCAAGCAGAGCGGAAGATGATTGGGTTTTAAAAGGAGAGGAGAGAGAGAGACATGGATAGTAATTATTCGAGTTGGGACTGCCTGGCCTGAAGTGTTACGTGAAAAGGAAATAGGCCCAGTTTGTGGAACTGACGGGGGGCTCTCGGGTAGAGACGTGTCAGCGCCGTCACTTGGTACCATCAGTTAGAACGTTGTCCAGTTGCTGCTCAAGCTCAGAGCTCTAAGTTCTGAGGGGATGGGCATGGGCAGCTGTGCCCAAGTCACAGGGCAGATTAGTGGCAGAAGTGAGTTTCAAACATGATTTCACCTATGTGATTTGTATAATTTGGTTATTTATAACTTGGGTGTTTCCTCTGCTGGTTTTCTGTGGATTTCCTGTTAGATGTATAGAAACGTATTTTCGTGATTATCCTCTTTTCAAAGTCTCAGTCTGGAGCCCTGCCTTGTGTTTGCAGTTTTCAGTGTGGCCAGGGGGTGAGGAGACGGTGTAATCGTGTGTTGGCATTCCCAAGTTTATTGAGCCTTTTTTTTTTTAATCAGATCTCTAAGTGGCTGCTTCATTAGTGATGAGGAAAGTTAGTTTAGTCTCCTCCTGGGCAGGGTTCTGGGTAATTAGTACGGAACGTAGTTTGTGGATTCCAGTACATTTTCATCCCAGAGGATGGTTTTACAAGCCCGGGTGACTGGTCCTCTCCCTGACCAGTGTCTCCCTTCCTCCAAGGACAGATCTCTGAGCCAAGGCTGGCCCTCAGGTCCTGGTGCCAGGGTTCGAACCCCGGCATCTCTTTCTCACTGCTCGATCATGGGCCAGTTTCGTAAACTCTGCACCTTCATTCCCTAATCCACAGAGATCACGGATACCCAGGATTGTGGTGGAGAAGCAATTCAGTGATACACTTAAAACTAGTGAAGACTGATCCATAATAAGTGGGAGCTGTTGTTACTTTCTCTCCGAGCCATTGAGCGCTGCACACCACGCGGGTCAGGTTCCATTTGTGACAGGACCTGCCCTGGCACAAGCCTTCTACTGACCGCATGCCTGTCCCCAGGCTGGCCCTGGCCTGCCCAGCCCAGGTGAGAGCTGCTGTCCCCACTGCACACAGGGCCGGTGGCCCCAGGCAGCCCTCCCCCCACCACCACTGCAAAGGTGTCTCCAAAAAGGGGAAGCCAGCATGTAGTATCCATTCACTGGAGTCCTCTTACGGGTTGCCACAGCTTGTATGTATTTAATTTGTAAGTGCCCAACAGTCCTTGCTTCTGCTTCTCGTTGTCCTATGAATGCAGTTTGGACTCGGCTTCTTAGCACATGCTTTCCAACTAATCAGTCTTCTCTGTCCGGGCAAGGGTCGGGGAGCCACAGCTTCTTGGTGACCTCTTGTAGGTCATTTCTGTCCTTGGCTCCTCTACAAAAGCATCACAAGAACTTTTTTTTTTCCCCAAAGTTTTGGGTCCATTGTTCAGCAGCCTTGATTATCCTACTCGGCACTCTCTTGGTCCCAAGGAACCAAATAACCAGTTTAATCTTAAGCAGGAAAGAAAATGTGTTGGGGGTGGGGAGTCACTGACTTAGAGGATGTCAGGAGTACCAGAGCCAGGGCTGTGAAGTATGTGGCCAGGAGCTGTCTCTCGTCCACTCTTCATCTGCTCCTCAAACCCCGCTTCCGTCTAGCACCTCCTGGCACATGTGTTCCCCGCACAGAGATGCCAGCAGAATGAAACCTTGTCCTGGGAGTGCCAGCTGAAGTCCAAAGATGGAATCCCGTGGGCCTGCCTGGGGTCGTGTCTCAGGCCCTGGACCAGTCTCTGTGGCACATGCAGTGCATGGCCGGGCCTCGGAAAGGTGCCTGCCCTCTGCCTGGAGTTGGGGGCGGTGAGCCGCTAGGCCGGCACAGAACAGGGCCCCGCAGAGAAAGTCCAGCCAGGGTACCTTCAAGCCTGAAGAAGGTTGATGGCGTGCTGGAGTCCCTGACCTGGGTCTCCGTATACCACCTGGCTTTCTCCTGGGAAGGGGTGTGCCCTGCTCTGATCAGCGACAGCAGTGCCCAGGGGGCTCCAGGGACACTGGTATTTCTGGCCATGCTGAGGTTCCCAGCCCTGTTCCTTTCACCGTGAGGGGTGGGGAAGACCACAGGTACAGCTTGGGTCCTCCGGGGACCTAGGAGATGGCCAGGTCATCTGAAGATGTCTGCCACACCCGAGGTCAGCATTGCCCGTCTGCCCCCTCCTGCTCCCTCTGGGGTGGCGAGCAAGCTGGGTGAGCTCACGGCTCGGTCCTGCGCTCCTCTGCCTTCCTCTGTTCGCGACAGCTGATATCAAAACAGCAGATGTCTGCAGCTGCTCATTCTTTTCTACCCCAGCTCCCTGGAGGAATGTGCCCTATTCACCCAACAGTCCGCTGCACATGTGTTTGTTTTCCACCTCTCTGGTCCAAGCAGGAGTGTTGCGGAGATGGGTGTGCGCAGTCAGGCTGGGCGCTGGATGGAGGGGTGATGCTGTGCCTTCCTGCTCACCCAGATGCACACATCCTCCAAGCAGGGGCAGTGTTCAGTCTTTATGCAGCTCTGACCACAAACCACATGGTGGGCTTCCACGGCTCCCATTTCCCACTCCTGTCATCTCCCTTCTGTCCGCTAAATGCCTCTGAGCACCACTTCCCACCTCCACCTCTTAAAGCAGATTCCTACACAGTGAGATTTGAGCACAGGCCTTTGAACCTGCAGCAGTCGTGTTTTTGACTTTGATACTCCCCAAACTGTGCAAAAACAAGTGATGACCAATATCAGAATCTACCTGTGGAAGGAGAAAATAAGTCATAAGTGTTCACTGACAGAACTTGAGAACCAAACGGGAATTGGGGTGACTATTTAACAGTGGTTTTGAAGTATTTTGAGTTGTTTGAAAGCAGTGATGTCCCTCATTGTCTTAGGAACCTAACAGATTGAGATAGTGTGGGCTTTTGTTTGTTCAGTTCAGTTGCTCAGTCATGTCTGACTCTTTGCGACCCATGGACTGCAGCACGCCAGGCTTTCCTGTCCATCACCAACTCCCAGAGTTGCTTAAACTCATGTCCGTCAAGTCGGTGAAGCCATCCAACCATTTCATCCTCTATCGTCCCCTTCTCCTCCTTCAATCTTTATCAGCATCAGGATCTTTTCCAGTGCATCAGTTCTTCACATCAGGTGGCCAAAGTGTTGAAGCTTCAACTTTAGCATCGGTCCTTCCAATGAACACCCAGGACTGATCTCCTTTAGGATGGACTGGTTGGATCTCCTTGCAGTCCAAGGGACTCTCAAGAGTCTTCTCCAGCACCACAGTGAATTGTTTATACAGTGATTTGTAAATCAACAGATGCTGAACAAACACGGAAGCTAGGTGCTTTGGCCCATCTAGTTAAGGTGATCTGTGCTGCTAGTAGAGAGTGGTCAGATTTTCCTAAAGTGAAGCACCGTGGCGTCTCACCTTGGGTGGCCTGGCTTTACGGGCCTTGAAGGAACAGGAGCCGCTGAGGAGCCTGGGTTCCCTTCCTCCTGGCTTGTGTGCAGACTGTGTTTTGCTTAATTTTTGGTCTTATCCCCATTCCTTCCATTTCCTGTTTCTTTCAGTCCCCTCCAGGCAAAGTGACGGAGGCTGTGAAGGTGGCGATTGACCTTGGGTACCGTCACATTGACTGTGCCCACGTGTACCAGAACGAGAATGAGGTGGGTTTGGCCCTCCAGGCAAAGCTGCAGGAGAAGGTGGTGAAGCGTGAGGACCTCTTCATCGTGAGCAAGGTACCCCGTCCTGCAGGGGAGCCTGAAGGGAGGGTTCTCGTCCATGTTCATCCAGGGCAGCATCTGTTTAGGGGGCCAAGACCGCACCCTGGGGTCTTTGAACACAGCTAGGGTTATCACCCAGCAGGCGGTTCTTCCTGGGCAAATGTGTGACTCAAGGCCACACCGAAGGCCATGTGTGCCTGTCTGTTGGATGGTCATTCCACTGGGACCCACTGGCTAGAGCCCTTGCTGATGAGGCCAAGGCTATGGGTTGGCACCCCCTTTCCAGAGGGTTACCTCTGATAACAGGACTTGGTTCCCCTCTGCAGACTGAGCTCTCTTGATGGTTCCCAAGATATACCGGGTAGGAGGGTGAAGCTGGCCCCACAAAGACCAGCCTGGTGGGAAAATAGGCCCTGAGAACTATGTTCAGGGCATGGGGCTGGCTTGCCAACCTGCCCATTCCATTTTATGCCTTCAGTTTGGTCCTCCTGAAAGGGTTCCTTGACCTGATTATCCTCCCTTCCTTTGGGAAGTTAGGATTCACGTGTGCAGCGGAATCTCTGTCCCCACCGTTGACAGCGTCATGGTGAAGTGGGTGGGTTGTGGGGTGCAGAAAGCAAGTCCCCTGTCCCGAGCCATCTGGCTGCTGGCCTGCGGGCTAAGACGTGTTCCCTGCCCGGCTTCAGCTGTGGTGCACGTATCATGACAAGGACCTGGTGAAAGGGGCCTGCCAGAAGACGCTCAGCGACCTGAAGCTGGACTACCTGGACCTCTACCTCATCCACTGGCCCACGGGCTTCAAGGTAGGGGCTCAGAGGTCGCCAGTGGCATCACCCTCTGCTCTGAGCAGGTCACAAGCAGGTAGACCCTCTGTGTGTGGCCCTGCCACTGCACTCAAGGTGCGGTCCCGTGACCAGCAGCAGTGGCCTCGCCTGGGAGCTTGTTAGAAGTCCGCCTAGGGCCCCACCCAGCCCTCTGACCCAAACCAAGGGTGGCTCACGTGCACGTTTCAGAGTTGGAGGAGCACCACTCTTTGTTATTTGGTAATTGGGTAAACTTCAACCTTTGCGACTGAACAAAGGCTGAGGTGACACTCCTTCCCATAAGGTGGCGTCATCAGCTACCACGGCTCCCCACCACCTCAGGCACCTTCACATACACACACGCACGCACATATATATGCACGCACCCTGCACTTAAGGCATGCGTTTTCCTGTACTCCATACACATGACATCCTGCGGAAGCTTGATAAACCTCGACAACCTTCCTCTCAACACACAAGAACTCTAGAGTTATTCCATCCTTAACCTCCATTCTAGCCACAGGCTCAGTTTTCTGCTTCATCAGCCAGTGTGAAACATGCGGGTATTACCCTGAAGCTCTTATTTTATTGCACTGTGGTATATCCGGGCCTGACTTGCATCCTTTGTTTTTTTTTTTTTTTTTCACAATAAGCTGGCGAGGCTCAGCGAGGTGGTGGTTTTGTAGGCTTGGGTCCAGCCAGGACATGGGCCCTGGGTCCCCCCCCATCCACACACCCCCGTCCACGGCAGGCTTCATCTCACTGACCGAGAATTCTCCATCTCCACACGATGGTCAGTGCCCACCCGCCTGATAGAAAAGGGGTCTGGAGGCTTCAGGAGCTGTCTGCTATTTCGTTTTCCCAATGACATGGATTTGCCCTTGATTAGCATCTGAAAACAGCTGTTGCAGTTTAGAGTAATTGTTTTAGAACTTTGCTTTCCACAGTGCATCTGCCCCAGCAGATCTCTGCAGGTCTGTGATTGTCTTTGATTGTTACTGCAGCCTGGGAAAGACTTCTTCCCATTGGATGAGGACGGCAACGTGATTCCCAGTGAAAAAGATTTCGTGGATACCTGGACGGTAAGACAGCCCCTGGCTTGGCCTCCCCTTTCGTGCCGGCTCCCCAGCCTCCTTGTAAGGGACCAGGCGTGAATGACCTGCTCCACCATTTCTTTTCCCGTGATTGTTATTCTGTCACTGTTGTGGCTCTTCCTGCCTCGTTAAAGCCATCCTGGCTTTTGTCTCGATGCCTCTTGTCTTCCGAAAGATCTGACTTGCTGGCACTGAATAATAAAGGTATGACCTGTTAAGCTGGCTGGTGCAAGAGGTGCTTCTGGTCCTTGTTCTTCTGGGCACATGTCAGCAGCAAGCATACCCTCTTTGGTTTCTAGGCCATGGAAGAGCTGGTGGACGAAGGGCTGGTGAAAGCTATTGGAATCTCCAACTTCAACCATCTCCAAGTGGAGAAGATCTTAAACAAACCTGGCTTAAAATACAAGCCGGCGGTTAACCAGGTAATGTCAGCAGGGAAGCTGGTGTGCGTGGGAGACTGTTGTGTGACCCTCAGATGCTAGCAGTGCCTTGTTAATCACATCACCCAGAGGCGGGTCCCTGGGCGCTGGCAGAGTCCTGAGTTATGGCTCAGAAAAGACGGTGTCACATCCGAGAGTGAAACTTGCAGGAGAGAAAGGGTTTTGAGCCTGGCTTTTGATGACTCAGAGTCTTGAGACGAGCTGTGTGCAGACATAGACATCCTCAGACCTGTCACAGTTGATAAATGGCCAAAGCCAGAAAAAACCCTCGAGGCCCATGGCCATGGTAACAGGACTAGGATCCTTAATGTCAAGAATGCTAGCTGGGAAGCAAGAGTTGTCATTGCCCATCCAGGAGATGGGATGCAGGTTGCCCATAACTTTCTGTCTGGAAGGAGGGGTCTTAGCCAGGGAAGACTTCCCATGTGGCCCGTGCGCACAGGGTCAGCATCAACCCTCCTGTGTTTATCTGCAGATTGAGTGCCACCCATACCTCACTCAGGAGAAGTTAATCCAGTACTGCAACTCCAAAGGCATTGTGGTGACCGCCTATAGTCCCCTTGGCTCTCCCGACAGGCCCTGGTGAGTCTCCATGGGATAGTTCTCTTGTTAGTTGGCGGAGATTAGAAGTGGCTGAAAAAGGAAAATCCAGCATCAGGGAGAATGCTTCTGAGGTGATCGGGAGCCTCCTGTTGGGTTTCCTCATTGGCGTTTCTAGTAGCAGGATGCCTCCTCTTTTTCCAAAGCGTTGTGAGTTTGTATCTGAGCTCTGAATCATGAGGAGACTGGCGGGCTGCCCTCTGAGGTCGATGGGCCTTAGGGTTAGGGTCATGGCTGCCTTGAGCGGTGGTGACGGTGGTCACTCATGCAGACCGTCTTGCTGTCTGTCTCCAGGGCCAAGCCCGAGGACCCTTCCATACTGGAGGACCCCAGGATCAAAGCGATTGCAGACAAGCACAATAAAACCACAGCCCAGGTATGGCCGTTTCCAGGCTCTCGTGACTGTTCCCAGAACTTCCTGCATTCGTGGTAGTTCCCGTTAGCCTGGAGGACCAAGCCCCGTCAGCGCTCCCCAGATGTACAGCTTGGGTCCTGAAGCATGGTAGCAAGGGCACAGAGGAGCCTTAGAAAGACCACATGGGGCTGGGCATGATCAGACCTGCCCCGCTACCTCTGAAGGCTACCACAAGGGTCCACACTTGCCCCTGTTTGGGAAAGCCCGTCTGTGCTCGCAGAAGGCTCAGCTGTGTGCTCCCAAAGGCTAGTGTGAGCTCCTAGACAGGGAGTAACATACAGAGAGACACGAGGCTGAGAGCTGGGCAGGGGGTTGGGACCTGAGCACCTCCTCCTCCTTACAGGGTGTGAGGCATCACCCCTGAGCTGGTCTCCTCACTGTGAAGTTCTGGGGTGTGGGCTGGGGTGGGGGTCAGGTTGGGCGAGTGGAAAGTGCAGAGCTTCTGATGGATGTACGCGCTTGGCATCTCTTTGCACAGGTGCTGATCCGATTCCCCATGCAGAGGAACCTGATCGTGATCCCCAAGTCAGTGACGCCTGAACGCATTGCTGAGAACTTCCAGGTAAGTCCTGGCTGATCGGCCCAGGGTCCCCTCGGTGGAGGAGGGGCCAGCTTTTCACCGGGCCTCTGGATGGTCATGTGTGGGCCCCCCGCCATCTCCTCTCGGGCAGGGAGCCCACCGTAGACGCAGGACACTGGTTCCTCGTGGGTGGCAGTGCTGCCAGGGCGGGCCCTGGGCCTCGTTGTACATGCACACACCTGTGCTAGGACTTCTCAGGGACTTGTCATTTGCCCGAGAAATGCTGCTCTTGAGTGATGCTGCTTGGATTTGCATCAGGACTCAGTTCCCCATCTGTAAAACTGTCACCTATTTCAAGGGTTATCACGAAGATGAAACAAGATGCACACAGCACCTGGTACCTTTGTGAGCACTTGGGAAACACTGCTGTGCTGACAGCTCCGTGGCCTGCAGAGACCTTGCAGGGCTCCAGTGAGGTGTTCCGTGCAGGTTCTCTGAGCACCTGCCAGAGCCGAGGAGGCCTTCTGACCTCACAGCCCCTCCCGCCCACCTGCCTGCCTCCCGCACCAGTGTCAGGGGCCGGGCCAGGAGACGGGCTCCCCAGGAGGGTCCCAGTGCCCCTGAGGCGAGCAGCTCTCGGTCTTCACCCAAGCCCTGGTTCCTGTGGCTCTGTTTCCAGGGAGAGCGACTGATCACGCCTGTTCCACTGGCCAGGGGCTGCGGCTGTAACAGGAGCTGCTGGCCGCCTGGGGCCCGGGCAGGGTGGGGGAGATAGATAAAGTGGTAAAATAGTATGAGAAACACATACCCTGCTAGAGATGGATTTTTTTGTTTCCTCTTTTATTTTTTCGAAGTGTTGGAAAAGACACATTTTCATTAAAAAAATTTTTTTAAAGACCCACTTTTGTTATTTTTTAAACCTATTTACTTTTAATTGGAGGATGTGTTAGTCACTCAGCCATGACTGACCCTTTGCGACCCAATGGAGAGTAGCCTCCTACATTCCTCTGTCCATAGGATTTTCCAGGCAAGAATACTGGAGTGGGTAGCCATGCCCTTCTCCAGGGGATCTTCCCGACCAAGGGATCGATCCTGGGTCTCCCACATTGCAAGCAGATTCTTTACCATCTGAGCCTTCAGGGAAGCCCAATCGGAGGATACTTGCTTTACAATATTGTGTTGGTCTCTGCCATACATCAGCCGTAGGTATACATACGTCCCCTTCCCTCGTTTTTAAGCTTCCAGGCCACATAGCATGTGGGATCTTAGCTTCCTGACTAAGTATCAAACCCTTGCCCCCTGCAGTGGAAGCACAGAGTCTTAATCACTGGCCTGCCAGGGAATTCTCAGGGCAGAGGTTTTGAAGTGAACTAAATAGAAAAAAAAAAAAAAAAATAAGTATCATTTTGCCTGGAGGATCTGGAAGGGAAAGGTCTGTTTTCATTGTTCATATACCCAGACAAAACGTGTGAGCTGAGTGGCCATGTAATAAACTTTCTCTGAGTTTAGTCTACCTTCCTGCCCCTCTGCACAGCAGACAGCATCTCACCAGTGGTCCTGCCTGGAGCTGATCCTATGCTTTCATATTCTGTGTTGGATTTTGCTGTTTAGTTGCTAAGTCATGTCCAACTGTTCTGCGACCCATGGACTGTAGTGCACCAGGCTCTTTTGTCCATGGGATTCTCCAGACAAGAATACTGGGAGTGGGTTGCCATTTCCTTCTCCAGGGGATCTTCCCGACCCAGGGATCGAACCTGAGTCTCCTGCGTGGGCAGGCAGGTTCTTTGCCACTGAGTCGCCAGGGAAGCCCTTACCTGTCTGTGTTGGATAGCTATTTACAGAGCTTCATGGGAGTTGTGGTTTCTATTTTGTTTTCTTTTTAGGTCTTTGACTTTGAACTGGACAAGGAGGATATGAACACCTTGCTCAGCTTCAACAGGGACTGGAGGGCCTGTGCCTTGGTGAGGTGAGTCCCGGGAGAGCCCCTGGAGGGATGCAGGTGAAAGACTAACTGCTGGAGGCCTTCCCACCCAGGTCCTGCTCTTGCAGCAGCTCTGGCTTGTTCACGTTACCTGGCCTCCGTGTGCTGCAGCGAGCATTTACAGCATGTCAGCCGAGCCGCACTCAGCCCCGGGGGAAATGCCCGGCGCCCTGCCTAGTCTCTCCTCGCCCTGTGCACTGGTGGCCTAACCTGCAGTACCCTAGGGGCCAGACAGCTTCTTGTTTTTTTTTAAACTAGTTTTTTTTTATAGTTGCTTCATAATATTACATTAGTTTCTGCCGTACAAGGAAGTAAACCAGCTATATGTCTATATATATCCCCTCCCTCCTGCCCTGTCCCACCCATCTAGGTATTTTGACTTTTACTTTTCAAAATTGAGTGGCTCATATGAAACCAGATGATTCCAGGTGGCTCCTGCCCCACCTTCCTGGGAGAATTTCCCCATGACTCTTTATCCATAAGGACTCGTAAGAGGGTTTTGGTCGGAAGACTGTGCTCGGGGCCCACCAGCACCCCAGCTCTGGTATTGGAGCCACCTGGACCCCTCCAGTAGACATGAGCTGGTTCCTTGTGTTCCCTCTGATTTGTAGTTTGGAAGGAGATGACAAGGAAGTAGGGTTTGGTTTTTTTGTTTGTTTTTTTTTTTGTTTCTTTTTGTACCACTATGTTAACTCAGCAAAGTTTAAAAGTTTAAAAAACACATTTCCTGCTTTCAAGAAGACTCTCCCCATTTTACATGTAGACTAAGAACTTGCTCTGTGACTGGATCGTCTGACCTCGCAGTTTCTTCTCTGTCCCCTCTGGCACTTACTCTCCTAAGCAAAGTTTGAGCGTTCCCTCAGGCCGGCCCGGGTGCTGGCTGTCCTTCCAGCCCTTGCTCTCTCTCCAGCTCCTAGCTGGCACCCCTGGTGGTTCCCCCACTCCTCCGGCAGGTGCTCCCAGGTTTGCTTCTTGATTAACAACTCTCGCCTGAGCTTGGGGCAAGCCTTTGCCTGTGAGCGTGTGGCTGCCACACTGTGGCCACAGGCAGAGTTTACCACTGGCCCTCTGAGGTCCCTGTATGTGTTATGTCACTCACCCTTTAGACATTAAAATCTTGTTTGAGCTAGTGGGCAAAGAAGAGAGAAGTGAATCAGCCACCGAGTCCCATCCTTGTTGGCCTTTGAGAACCGCTCATTATTCGTTTAGTTTCCTTTCCCCTTCCAGCTGCTGACACAGCATATGGTAGGGCGGCTGCTGCAGACCACTGATGTGTAATGGATTATGAAAGAGTTATTTGCCCCGAGCAGGGTTCACCCTGGGGCCTTTCACACTCTTCCCAGCCAGGCTTTCCAGCACTATATACCTCCAACACAGGCCATAGGGCTGCGAACCTTGGCAAACAACTCCTGTGTCTTTCCACCCCCGGCTCAACGTCCAGCCTCTATAGCAAATCTTTAGTTGTTCATTTCAGCTCCCACTGGTCCCGGGAGGCCTCTGGAGATGACAGTGGCCTCTTGCTCCATGTGTTCTCTGTATCTGTGAGTCTTTTTTTTTTTTTTTGGTGGAAAATCGTTTTACAATTTTGTGTTGGTTTCTGCTGTACGCCAAGGGGAATCGGTCATAATTTTGTGTATATATATATATCCCTTCCCTCAAGGCTCCCTGCCCTCCCCCAACTCCAGCCCTCTGGGTCATCACAGAGCCCCAGGCTGGATTCCCTGTGTTATTTAGCAACTTCCCACTGACTGTTTGTTTTACACATAATCGTATATATATATGTCAGTGCTACTTTCTCCATTCGTTCCACCCTCACTTTCCTCTGCTGTATCCACAAGTCCATTCTCTACTAGGTTCATCTGTACCATTTTTCTAGATTCCATGTATATGCGTTAATGTACAACACTCAAGACATCATTTCTGTCTATTTGAAATTGGTTACGGTAGAAATCTCATCCAGGAAAGACTAACGTTTTCCTGTTTTCTCCCGACAGCTGTGCCTCCCACAGGGATTACCCCTTTCACGAGGAGTTTTGAAGGAGTTTTGAAGCTGCAGGTCCCTGCCCTTGCCCAGGTGACCTGCCGTCTCCCACCTCACTTCTCTTACGTGTAGCGTAATTTGGCCCATGTCCCTCAGTGGTGGGTCATCGAGGGCTCCGCCAGCTTGGTGTCGGGTCCAAAGAGCAGAATCAGTAGATTAGTAGAAATCTTTTCAGTTTTCCTTTGCCCTTCTAGTCTGGGGAACTGGGGAACATGCAACCCAAATACTCTTTTCTAAATTGAATTTACAGAATCAGAATAGTGCCTCTAACAGTGGGGTTTTGATTGCTTGGAACTGTAATCCTTTCAGCTAGACTTTTCTTTGCCTCAAATAAAAAGTGCTCTTATGAGTTTGATGCTGTCTGTTTTGGTTTGGTTTGTTGAAACCGTACACCACCTTCTGTGCCCATCGACCCTCCTCCCAAGATACCATACAGCTGGCCACTTAGCCCCACAACAGGAGGAAGGACTTAGCATCTTAACACTTAGCACCTCAGTACTGCACCCACTTAACTTTAAGGGGCTGGATCCCCTCCTGACTGCACATCAGACACCCCGGGGGCTTTGAATGCTAGCATGCTGGTCCTCATCCCTGGAAACTTACCTAATTGGTCCAGGTGTAGCCAGGACATCAGGAGTTTGCAGGACCCCTGGGTGACCCTTGTGCAGCCAAGCTGAGAGCCACAGCTCTAGGACCAAACCAGGACGTGAGCCCATTTGTAATTTCACAGATTTACTTGGTTTTTTCCTCCTCCTTGTGAAGGCCAATAGTCCTGTGGTTACTAAACAGCACCACTCACGAGCGACTGCTCTCAAGAAGTTCATTGTCTGGGACAGCGGGAAGAAAAGCAGCAATAATTGGTAGCTGGGGCCACTATAACAAAAACCAGAGACTGGATGGTTTAACAGAAATGTATTTCTCATGGTTCTAGTGGTCTGAAGTCAGAAATCAGGGTGCCAGCATGGCTGAGCTCTTATGAGGGCCCTCTTTATGGCAGGTAGATGCCTACCTTCTCACTATATCTTCCAGGGATAGAAATGAAAGCTTTCAGGAGAGCCGACTCATTGGAAAAGACCCTGATGCTGGGAAAGACTGAAGGCGGGAGGAGAAGGGGACGACAGAGGATGAGATGGTTGGATGGCATCATCGACTCAGTGGACATGAATTGAGCAAACTGCAGGAGATAGTGAAGGACAGGGAAGCCTGGAGTGCTGCAATCCAGGGGGTCGCAAAGAGGCAGACACGACTGAGTGACTAACACTAACTTAACTGATCAAAGTGACGAAGGCCATGAAGGAGATTGGATATAGACAAGTGTTGACTTCAAGTTTAATAAAGACAAGTCGCTTTGCTTTGCTCCTGGCTCTGTTTATTGGCTGACTAGCCGCTTTCATTTGGTGAAAGCTGTTTTGCAGGTGATCCATGCGTCAGATGGATAGCATTTAGTTGGGCAGTGTTGGTTGCTGGGTCTTAACCCAGGGATGCAGGAGAACAGTCCGGCCCCCGAGTGGCTGGGGTGGATCCAGGTGGGCTCACCAGCTGGCAGCTCTGTACCTGGATCCCTCGCTTACTGAAACCTACCCATCACTGTGGTCCAGTTCCACCTGCTTGGTAGGCAGGTCCCACCTTATCCCAAGTTGAACTGCTAACCTCTTGCATCACCCTTCAGTTACCACCACTGTGTGTCGCTCAGTCATGTCCAACTCTTTGTGACCCCATGAACTGTAGCCCACGAGGCTCCTCTGTCCATGGAATTTTCTGGGCAAGAATACTGAAGCGGGCGCACATGCCCTCCAAAGGATCTTCCCAGCCACCAAGAGCAGACTATCATCTTATAAATGGTTGTTGCAAGTCCTCTGAGAACTAGTTCCCAAGCCCTGTTTCTCACGGTAGCAAGAGCTGGCTTAAGTGCTCTCTGGGAAAGCTTTGGGGTCATCACTAGTAAGAGATTTAAAATCAGATGCCTGCCTTCTAGGTCCCTTCTTAAAAACACAATCAAAACAAGACCATTTAGAAGCCAGCCAGGAGCACAAACCAGATAAAATTCCCTCTGCTGACCCACCTCCCTGCTTTCTAACCTACCTCCAGTTATATCAGGTTTCCCTGGTGGCTCAGATGGTAAAGAGTCTGCCTGCAATGTGGGAGACCTGGGTTCGATCCCTGGGCTGGCAAGATCCCCAACAGAAGGAAATGGCAACCTACTAAAGTATTACAGCCTGGAAAATTCCATGGATGGAGGAGCCTGGAAGTCCATGGGGTCACAAAGAGTTGGACAGGAGTGAGCAACTTCCCTTTTCTTTTTCAATTTTTCTTTTCCAATTGTATCTAAGAACTCACTTGCCTGGTGTGGAGGTAGAGGAGGGGGTCGAAACCTATCATGAAGGGCTGGGTCTGTATTTTGAAGATAAAATAGAGGCGTATTTGCAGCATAAGGCCTGAGCTGATAGACACCAGAGGGTCTCCATGGACAGAGATGCCGCTTCTCGGCCCACCCCCCTCCTCTCGCCCATCCCTGGGCGGGTTGCAGCCCAGCCTCAGGACTCGGGTAAACCCCTGGTCCCAAGTGCAGTAACACTTCAGAGGCCAAATTAGTGGCAGTTACAGACAATGGTGCAGGTCTTTGCTTTGAGGAGCTCTTTTGGGGCCCTGAAATACATTCACGGGTTTGGAGTTGGACCAAAGCAAAGTTCCAGGCAAAGAGTAGAATTGTTCAGATAATGAGACCAGCTGAAAGATGGAACAGAATTTGAATCACATGGGTGATTAACACCTGCTTGAAAATCTGCCCTGAACAATAGTGGCGCAGGTTTAATACAGACAGCACAGTTGAAGGTCTGTGATTTCACATTTCTCAACACAACATCCTTCACGTGGACATGATTCCCAAAGGAGCTGTTACAGTGCTGCGTCTGGCAGAGTCCTGGGGGTTCCCCCTCCAGGAGAAGCAAGTTGGGCTTCTGAGTCAGTGTTGGGCTCAGCCGGGCCAAGGCTTTGGCGAGGGGCTGTCTCTGGGGGTTCGTGGCTCCTGGGGTCCAGCTCTGGGTCATGCTTAGTCTTTCTGACCCTTGACAGCATTTTCTAGCTGTGCTACAAGGAAGACGTGGGGCTTAGGATCCCCAAGGGGAGCCTCTCTTCGTTTCCTCCCCAGAGTTTGGCTTCAGGTCCTCCAGCCCAACTCCCAGCTAAGCCTGAGGGATCCTAGTGTTGGTTTCCCTCGCCCTCCTGTCTGCAGTGCCTAGAACCGTGCCTGGGCACAGAGTGGGCACTCGGGGACAGCACCCACAAGTGTGAGTGAGTTAACGTGTGAAGAGCTTATCTTAAAACAACTAGCAATGAAAGCCTTCTAGTGTGAAATCAGTGTATTTTAGACCCAAAGAGGGGCTGCTCAGTTCTGACTGGTGGCCCGAAATACATGAAAGGTAGCAAAGAGTTGTATAAATACAGACTGTCTTTTTATTTTTTAAATAAGGTTGGCTTTATTATTTTTTAAATTTATTTTATCATCTTTGGTTGCATTGAGTCTTTGTCACTGCACGTGGGTTTTCACTAGTTGTGGCCAGCAGGGGCTGTTCTCCAGTTGCAGCCCGCAGGCCTTAGAGCGCAGGCTCAGGAGTTTGGCGCACCGGCCTAGTTCCCCCACAACTTGTGGGATCTTCCCAGACCGGGGATGGAGCCTGTGTCCCCTGCATTGGCAGGCAGATTCTTTACCACTGGACCACCAGGGAAGTCCTGGATGGACCGAGTCTTCACGGCAGCTCTGCCCTTCCTAATCCACGACTCACCTCTATTCCTCCAATCTACAAATGCTGCCCTCCTAGCAGTCAGGAGGATTAAGATCATCAATGTGAAACTTATCTCCCAGGCTTTGCATACAGCCCTTGATACATGCTAGTCATCAACTTTGATGTTGTTCAGTTCAGTCGCTCAGTCATGTCCAACTCTTTGTGACCCGATGGACTGCAGCACGCCAGGCTTCCCTGTCCATCACCAGCTCCCGGAGCTTGCTCAAACTCATGTCCTTCGAGTCGGTGATGCCATCCAACCATCTCATCCTCTGTTGTCCCCTTCTCCTCCTGCCTTCAATTTTTCCCATCATCAGGGTCTTTTCCAAGGAGTCAGTTCTTCTAATCAGGTGGCCAAAGTGTTGGAGTTTCGGCTTCAGCATGTTAATTAATGTTAACATGATGTTGTTAATATCATCATTATTACTATAACCATATTTGGCAAGAGAAGCAAGCCCCTGGCCCCACCCCACCCCCAGTTTGTGGATGGTGCCCCAGGGAGCTGTGTCCAAAGTGAGGTTCTTTGCTCTGCATGACCAGCTCTTTCTCCACTGCCTGGACTCAGTCCATCTTCAGGCCCAGAAAGGGCCAATCCTGGTACGTTTACCTGTGAGCAGCACAGTGTGAACTTCTGCTTCCAGCCTTGAGGACTGTGCTTTCTGGCAAGAAGGGTGAGCCCTGAAGAAAACACTGCCCATGTGTTTGTAAGAAGTTGTTTTTTTTTTTCTCCCATACTGATGGAGTCACAGAGCATTGGAAATCAACTAACTCAGGGTTTTCCAACCTCTTTTTGGCAGTAGGCTCCTTTCTCTAAAATAAACCCTCTGTCTATCTTCAATATGTACACTAGATAAGAGGACAGCTGCTGTGGTTTAAGTGAGGGAGGAGTCTGGGAACCAAGTCAGTTATTATCCCGCTACACACAGGCCCTGGAACACAGTTTCTAAGCCTTGGGATTCAACTGTGTGTGTGTGTGTGTGTGTGTGTGTGTTTTAAACAACTATAATATTTATTTCTAGCTCCATTGGTAAAGAATCCGCCTGCAATGCAGGAGACCCTGGTTCGATTCCTGGATCAGGAGCATCCGCTGGAGAAGGGATAGACTACCCACTCCAGTATTCTTGGGCTTCCCTTGTGGTTCAGCTGGTAAAGAATCCGCCTACAATGCGGGAGACCTGGGTTCCATCCCTGGGTTGGGAAGATAGATCCCCTGG